CCCCAAAACCCCAAAACCCCAAAACCCCAAAACCCCAATATTTCAATAAGGAATTGAATAAATGTTGAAAATTATTTGAGTCTTGAGTTCAGGATGAGTGCTCCTGAAAGAGCCTTGGGGTCTAACTTCAAAGTCTTAGTCTTCGTAGCTAAACATCAGTCTAAAGACTATACTCAAAGGAAGAAGTCTTCTTGTGCTCTTCCTGTACATTGGCCTGAGAGCTGGAGGATTCACAATTTCTTTCTCGGTTATCTAAAGGCTCGAACTTTGTTACCTTTTTACTCCTGTGCTCATAATTCTCAATTGAAAGCTAAAAATCACGAATGGGGAGTTACAGGTTTATGTTTACTCGGAATTGTTCGGGTTGTTTTATTAATAGACCGAAGAGAGCGGATACAGTTCAGGTTTCGAATCTGTTCCCTCCATTCTGGCTTCTCGAAGTAAGACTTATTTAGTCTTTATTTTCTACAGAGTTAAGATCTGGATTACAGCTGAGGATCTGCTCTTGTAGAACTCTAGAGGGTCATAAAGGAAGTTACTTGTTATCGGTTTGGTGTTGATCTCAGTTTCAAGATATTCTGTTGACAGCAAGTAGTCAGGGTCTGCCAAGCATTTCTTTACAACTTCTTTGTATCTATCCAGCTGAGGCTATGAATAAATATAAGGATTATGGCTTAAAGCTGATATTTCTTGGTGTTGTGCCAAACTTACAAACTGCGTATTGCTCTTTTCAGAATTCAGTATTTTCTCTACTGCAGGATCGTTATAGTCGATATTAGTCACATTTGATTTCCTGATCCGAAACTTTTGAAAGGGTAGATTCGGATTTCAAAAAGAGTGGAGAATACTAGGCTCTCCGATTCTCTTAATCTGGGTGATATTGATCCAACTTGCTTGATCAGCTCCTGAGCCTAGCTCTACAAGACCAAATAACAATCTAGAGTATACCTTTTAGAGGGCTTTCATAACCTTCCTCTTCAGAGCTTTGCTCGAGGGGCTGATCTTCTTTCCGGCTCATTTTTATATTTGGAGGATAATTTTCAGGGTAAGGTTGAGATCTAAGAGAATAATAATTTACAATACGATTTAGCTGGTGAAGTGTCTTTACAATCAAAGGAAATTTCATGTTCCTTGCAGTCTAGCTCATCATGGAGATTTATATGGATTCTGCTACGATTTAGCACATTATTCCTACTTGCTATAATCCTTCTCTGACTCGGAGCCGAGTCGACTATGATTGCGAGGGGTGCCAAATTTCGGAGACATAAATTTATCAGGAGTGCAGGGATCGTAATTTGGAGAGAGGATATTTGCAAGATTTTCTTCAATAATTGTCCCAAATCTTGTAATCCTTTCCTGACTATTGTATCGCATCCTTTTTGGAGCTTCTTCATTAAGAGCTGCGAATTCAGGAGTCTAAGGATGAACCTCGAGGACTTACTTTCAGATTGCTATTTCGATTACTATTTAGTAAAACTTCTCTCCCAGTCTTAAGACATTGAGGACCAAGACTTGGAGCCTTCAGATTAGCGAGTTTCTTTTTTGGCATGTCTCTTACTGTCTTGTGGTTCATCATCTCTTTGATGTCAGTCTAGAGGGATTAAGATCAGCTTACATTTATCTCTGGTTTATAAAGTGTTTTGGAAGGCATCTATGCAAAAATGCATTAAATTTCTCCAGAACTAACAGAATTTCTTAAAACTCCATGAAAAAACTCTAGGCACAAATCTTGGATGGGTTCTAAGGAGCCTACCTGTGAAAGACTATACTTCTTCATGAAGTGAGCTGGGATTTTATCTAAAACATTTACATAAACTTCATACTCAATAGTTTTGTCTTCTTGATTCTTCTAGGTGTATATTTATCAAGTATCTGCTTCTGAAGACTCTTTGAGAGATTATAATGAGGCTTCGAGAACAAATTCAGACACAAACGCTGAGTGCTTCGATTAGTCTTTACCTCCATTAATATTTATCTGTATAAATTCCATTTTAGGTTTATTCTTAGGGGTTTTGGGGTTTTGGGGTTTTGGGGTTTTGGGGTTTTGGGG